TTAAAATATCAAGGGATGAGGGGGTAAGCATAGGAAAATGGTGTTAACATTTAAAATAATCCAAAACAACCAGGCTCCTGATGAGCTGAGCTTTTTCATGAGAAGTTGAATCAAGTAGCTGAGGGATTGTCAAAAAGATCTGATTCTGCATTAGTTACCATCCAATGACATCCCAAAGAAACTGCACATTTGTGGGGGATGAATTTGAAATAAAACAATGGATTTGTGTACACTAACTCTGGCTGATGAAAACCCTGCACATAATCCCCTCTTGGATCATAAATGGGTGATGGCATTTTGAGATACACATTTGATGCATCCATCTAATTTGAAAGTTCTGTCTTTGGCTCTACCTGATCTGGGGTTGTTTGACATTCGATACTAAAGCTAGTATTTCACCTAGTGGACAACAGACCTGTCACCCTTTTTTCAAGTAATTATAACACTACCTGGCACAAAGAAGGGTGATTGAGGGTGTTGGAGGCCGCACATCTCCGTGTCAGAACCCCACTGTGCAAGTTCCTCCATGTAGGGCCTAGATGCAACCATCTCCAGTTGCTTAATCAGTGACCTTTCCTCCATCATGAGGTCAGAAGTGGTGCTGGTTGCTGATGATTGTGGTGTTAAGCACCACTTGTAGCTTAAGTAAGTTAAAAATGACAGTGGAAAAGTTCTAAAGAATGGTACAAAGTACTCAGAAACATAACAGGTGCTCATAAAGTATGTGGCACTGGCTTAAATCAAAATGTCACTTAAAAGTATAGTACTTTTTGTATTTTAGAAAGGCAAGTGTAATTTTTGGGAATGTACTGTTCTTTGTAAATTCCATAAAATGTATCTGGCTGTCCTGAACATGCACAAATAAATGCTAGATTAACAACGTATTGAAACAATTATGACAAAGTGCTGAATATCTTTGTCTTTTTGGAATGGAAGGCACTGGGAAGTGATGGGTTTAATGTTGTTGCAAAGAAGGGCAGGAGGAGCAAGTGAAACAGATGGTGAATGTGCCCCAGAACAAATGGCAAAGAGAGTGCTAATCAAAATGGAGTACAGAGTTCATTCTCTGAAATTTTTGAACTCATTGTTGAATCATGGCATCCCCACAGTGTGGGAGCAGGCCATTCAACCAGTTGAGCCCACATTGACCCTCTGAAGAGCGTCCCACCCAGACACACCCTCAACACTATCCCCCATAACCTGGGCTTTCCATGGCTAATCTTCCTAGCCTGCACACCCCTAGACGCTATGGGCAATTTAGCATGGCCAATCCATCTAACCTGCACATCTTTGGGCTTTGGGAGGAAACTGGAGCACTTGGAGGAAAGCCATGCAGACACTGGGAGAATGTACAAACTCCACACACAGTCACCCCAGAGTGGAATTGAACCCAGGTCCCTGGCGCTGTGAGGTTGCAGTGCTAACCACTGAGCTACCCATGCCACTCGTTTGTACTGTATGCATAGAATCATATAGCATGGAAACAGACCCTTAGTTCAACTTGTCTGCGCCGATCAGATGTCCCAATCTGACCTAGTCTCATTTGCTAGCATTCTAAACCTTTCTGATTCGTTTCAAGTATATTGCATAAATTTGAGATTGTACAGTGTGGTTACAAGCTAAACATATCAGGCAACACCTGCCGCTTACAAAAGCAAACCTCAAACCATAGTATCCAAGGTTGTCACTTAGTCCCTGATAAAAGGAATGCTGTTTCATGCTAAGATTGGGTATTCGGCTTCAGCTTATGCACATTTTTGTTTAAAGTATTGAAATGACTGGCACAACTGGTCAGGGATCAAAGGATTTTAAAGCAAAATTCCACTCCAAATTGTTATTCTGTAAGATTGGTGGAAATGCTTACATGTGTCTGTTGCATTGATGATAATACCATGGCCATATGCACTGTTTGGGCTTGTAAATCAACTGCCACAAGCAAGCATTTGTCTTGAAGGCTGCAGTGTGCCTAAGGAGAAAATGAGGTGTTAGTCCTCCAAATTGTGTTTGGCTTAGCTGGAGCACTGCAGCAGGCCTGACAGAAATCTTACCACGAGAGCAAGATGGTGTATTGAGATGGCAAGTCCCTAGAAGGTCAGAGTTATCTAGTTGATTGAGCGGAGGTGTTCTGCAAAGTGGTCACCCAGACTGTTTCGTCTTGCCAGTGTAGAGGAGACTGTAATGTGACCAATGAGTATGGTAGGCATGATTGAAAGAAGTACAAGTAAATTCCTGTTTTGACTGGAAGCTGTGCTTGAGTCCTTGGACAAAGAGGAGGAAGGAGGTAAAGGGGCAAGTCTCTGCGATTGTGTGGGAGGATGCACTGGGGCTAAGGAAGTGTTGAGAATAATGAAGATCATGGTGTTGCAACATAATCGGTCCCTGCTTAATGCTGACAGAAAGGAGGATGGGAAGATGTGTTTAGTGATGGCATCCTATTTGAAGGTGGTGGTAATGGTGGAGAATGGTCTTTAAAAGCAGAGACTGGTAAAGTGAGAAAGGGTGGGAGCTTCCTGACATTTGGTCTGGGAAGGAGGAAAAGCACTGAAGTATGGGAAATGGGTCAGACATGACTGAGGATGTTTTCTTGCCAACCATGGTGGCTGCGTGGGGTATTGTCAGTTAAGGATAAAGGAAGGCCTGTCATAAGCACCCTGTCAAAGCTTGTATCATTTGAAAAACTGTTGTTGAGAAACTGAGACAATGGAATCGACTCCGTGCAGGAAATAAGATGTGAGAAAGTACAGTCAAGGGAACTGTGGGAGTCCGATATTAGCCTATGCCCATAAACGAAGGGGATAGTCAAGAAGTCAAGGAGGGGATGATTCAGACATGGACCAGGTAAGATTGAGAAAAGGGAGGGAATTGAAAACGCATACAGTTTCACATAAATTTGAGATTGTACAGTGTGGTTACAAGCTAAACATATCAGGCAACACCTGCCGCTTACAAAAGTTATTGGAGTGAGTTGAAGGAGAAATTGTTCAAAATGAGAACAAGCTCAGCCAGTCAGAGGGTGATGTGGATTGTTCAGGGGACTGTTCAGGCCTTCTATCAAGGAAGAAGTGGAGACTCCATACCGTCTTGGTGAGGAATGGAGATGTAGAGGGATTGCACGTTCATGGAGAGGAGGAGGTGACTGGGTCTAGGAAACTGGGAATTGTGGAAAGTGTCAGAAGAACCACAAATGTAGGTGGGAAGAGATTGGGCAAGTGGAGAGAAATAGAATCAAGTTAAGAAATAAGTTCAGTGGGACAGGAACAGGTTTATCTGATGGATTTGCCAGGTCAGTCCTGTTTGTAGATTTTGGAAAGAAGATAGGAGCATGCTGTGTGGGTTTGGAGTACCAGGTCTCCAGAGGAAATGAGGTCAGTGAATCATGTCCACAGTGGAGAAGAGGCAGGAAGAAGTGATCTCTTCAAACAAAATGGCATGGCACTGAAAAGATAATAATGGGATTTTAAAGTCCACTGAACACAAGTTAAATCTGTCAAGAAGTGCAGCCAGAAACAAGTTGATATGGAGTAAGCCATTAAACCAGTCGCTAATGACTACGGTGTGGGGAAGTACTGGAAAACTGTCGACTGAAAAGGGGGTGATTTGAGTGGTGAATCTAGAATGTAACATAGGACAACAACAGAATGGAATACTTTAAACTAATTTGCAAGATAGGACAATGGATCATGAATTCTAATTATGCAAGTTTAAGATTAACATCAGGAACTTCATATGGGCATTATTTACAAATTCATATTTATCCTGTGATTTGAGCTGTGAAAATGCTGCAGCCTCTTTAGGTAACACAAATCTAGTATTGTTGCATTAAAATTGCTGTTGATTGGCAACTTTCAGTGCATGCCTTTTTTTTGGTGTTTTATGTTGAACGTGCAGAAAATGTGTGTATTCAAAAAGCCTTATGGACAAACACAACGCAGTTGTATACTCATGGGATTATAATGCAGTTCTGAGATTCAGAAATCCATTGAGTTTGTTTCATTCACAGGATGTGGTTATTGCTGGCTAGGCCAGTGTTTATTGCCCATCCCAAATTGCTCAGAGGGCAGTTAAGAGTCAGCCACATTGCTGTGGGTCTGGAGTCACAGGTAGGCGAGACCAAGTAACAATGATAGTTTACTTCCCTGAATAAAAGACAGCAGTGAGCCAGATGGGTTTTCAATGGAGTCATAGAGTCATACAGCACAGAAACAGACCCTTGGTCCAACTTGTCCATACCAAACAAGTTTCCAAAACTAAACTAGTCCCAATTGCCTGTGTTTGGCCCATAGCCCTCCTAAACCTTTCCTATTCATGTACTTGTCCAGATGTCTTTTACATATTGTAAACATAGCTGATCCACCACTTCCTTTGGAAGTTCATTCCACATGCAAACGACCCTCTGTGTGTGGAAAAAGTTGCCTCTCAGGTCCTTTTTAAATCTTTCTCCTCACCTTACATATATGTCCCCTCGTTTTGAACAGCCCCACTCTAGGGAAAAGACTTTGGTATTCACCTTATCTATGTCCCTCATGATTCTATAAACCTCTGTTGACAAAGGTTTCATGATCATCATTCGACTCTTAATTCCAGATTTTTGTTAAATTCAAATTCCACCATCTGCCATAGTAGGATTTGAACTCAGGTGCCCAGAGCATTACCTGGGTCTCTGCATTAATAGGCTAGCAATAATATCACTAGGCCTTTGCCTCCCTTTGAAGGATTCTTCAGAACGCTGGATGCTAGATTCTTTTTCACTGTTTGTACAGTGTTACCTGATATCAACTGAAATAGCACTGGAGGTTCTGCAGTAGGGCTTCTCGAGATTAGGGACAGAAATCTTAGCTAGAATTCCCAAGTTACACTGGATGTGTGGTCAGTGTTTTAAGATGAGCAGCATATAATTAAAAGTGTGTAGGATATGGAAGTAGGTTTTGTTTTGATGATCACATCATGCTTGGTTATATTGTTTGTTGTAAACTCATTTTAATATGTTTTTAATCCTCCAGAATAATCATACAAAAGAGAAACTCTTGAGAAATGTTTCGACCTAAAGTTACTCTAAAAGATCGGCAGCACCTTTACCGACTCATTATTGGCCAGCTGCTATATGATGGATACATGAACATTGCATCAAACCTGATCAATGAGATCAAGCCACCATCAGTTTGCTCTCCCTCCGAGCAATTATTGCATCTTGCAAAGCTTGGTAAGTAATTTGTGTTATTAGCCCACTTACAACTGAGCTTTAAAATATTTTATGATCTCTCCTGTTGGCTCCTCACTGAGTACTGTCACATAGCATCCAGATGACTTGTCCAGGTAGCTAACCTTCGAGTGTAAGCTTAAATGTTGAAAGTCAGTAACTGGAGGGCATTTTGGTTAAGTCCAATCCTATCTTTGTCTAAAGTCAAGACAGCACCTAAAAGTGGCCAGTTTTATGCTTGAATGCTGAAAGCTTCATTTCTCTTGGGATCCACGATCATGGTCATACTTATGGTCAAGATGGCGGTGGTGTAGGATGCTCCAATTGGAACTCCTCCACTCCTCTGTCTCTTTCCTTCTCTTTTGTTCCCCTTTGGTCTCTTGGTGGGTTCCAGCCTGGTTTCCAGGTGGCTTGTGGCAGGTCCCAGGCCTGTTCTTTTGATGGTATGGCAGCTCTCAGCTTGGTGTCTTGGCGTCTCATGGCAGATCCTGGCCTGGTCTCCCGGTGTCTCGCAGCCTGGTCTCTTGGCAGCTAATAGGGGGGTCCCAGCCTGGGGTCTCGGTGGCTCTCAACCTGGTCTATCGGTGACTCGTGGTGGGTCCCGGCCTGGTGTCTTGGTGGTATGGCGTTCAGTGTCTCGGTGACTTATGGCAGTGTCTCGGCTCAGCACGTGAGTGGATCCTGCCAGGGCATGTTCCTGAGGCACGGGGGGAGATCGGAGAAGCAGCGGTATCTGTGGCGCAGTAGGTTTATCTGTGGCGCAGCTTCAAGAACTTCAAAGAGAGATAAACGGGGGACTCATCAAAGCCTGTTGAACTTTTAACTTATTCCTTTATTTTCCTAGTTTAAACTATGAAAGATTTTAATATAGACTGTAACCTATTTCTTTATTTTTCTCCTACAAAGTAATGCTTAACTTTTTAACTCTTGTTCCTGTTATTGCTTTGTACCGATGTACTTTAGTATCTAAGATGGCGCCATGTGGCGAAAATATACACTTTTCACTGTCACGTGTACTCAAGTACAGGAGTACAATAAAATCTAAAATCTAAAATCTAAATCTAAAAATGAAGGTAGTTCATAATGTGCTGTGCTTGTCATGTTTCAAAGTTTGGTTTATTAGATGATTAAAGAGAAGTGTTCTGAGGAAGGGTCACCAGACCTGAAACGTTAACTCTGGTTTTTCTTCACAGGTGCTGCTAGACCTGCTGAGCTTCTGCAGCAACTTCTGTTTTTGTTCCTGATTTACAGCATCCGCAGTTGTTTTGGTTTTGATTAAAGAGTAGAGTTTGAAATTATCAAACTTAGCAATATATTCAAAGTCACAGTGCGATAATTTGAGTCTCGTGTAGCTTGGCACAGGATAAGTAAGATTAGAGATGCATATGCGTGGCTTAAGGACTAGTGTGGCAGAAATGGGTTCCATTTAGGGCACCAGTACTGGGGTTAGAGAATTGGGAAAGGCTTCATTTGAACGATGCTGGGATTGGTGTCCTGATGAATGTACAACTAGAATTTGGCAGAAATGGGCAGAAAATGTAAAAAAAAAAGTGAAGCTGAAATGAAAACCAGAATAAATATTGATGGTAAAATGTCAAAGCTTAAGGCTGTTTATCTGAATGCACTGAGCATTTGTAACAAGATAGATGAGTTGATGGCGCAAGTAGAACTTATTTAATTGGCTTGATAGCTATTATGGAGACATGGTTGTAAGGTGATCAGGACTGGTAGTTCAATACTCAAGGATTTTCAACATTCTGGAAAAAATAAACAAAAAAGTAAAGAAGGCAGGGTAACTAATAAAGGAAGGCATCACTGCAGTGGTGAGTAGTGATACAGGTGCAATAGGTTATGATGTGTAATTGATTTTGGTGGCAATATTGCATTGCCAGGGAAAGAAATCACGGATTGGAGTTGTCTGTTGGCCTCTGAAGACATGCTTCATTGTTGAACAAAGTACAAATCAGGAAATAATGGAGGGCACTCCAACTGTCATGGGTAATTTTAATCTGCATATTGACTGGACAGATCAGATGGCCAAGGGTCACATTTTTTTTAGAGCAGTGCATTATACAAATGACCAAGGTTCAGGCTATTTTAGATATAGTAATGTGTAACGTGATAAGATTCTATGGGTTAGCAATCATAACAGGGTAGAATTTCATAAAGTGTGAGGGAAAGCAACTGTTGTCTCAAACCAGTTTCCTCAACTTAAAATACGGACAATTACAGAGGCACGAAGAAAATTCTTGTCCAAAGCAGCCTGGGAAAATAAGAATCCGGGGATTGTCAGTAGATGAGTAGTGGCAGACATTTAAGCAAATATTTCACAACATTCAGCAAAATATTTTTTAGATCAAAAGAATAACTCAGTGAGAAGGATAAACCATCTGGTGGTTAATAAAGGCAGTCAAGGAGAATATCCAAACAAACACTAAAGTGTACAAAGCAGTGAAAATTAGTGGTAGGCCAGAGAATTGGGATTTTAGTTTTGGAACCAACGGCAGATTACTAAAACTCTAATAAAAAGGCAGAAATTGATTGTGAAAGAAATTTGATAAGAAATGTGTAAACAAATAGCAAGAGCTTCTACTGGTATATGATTAAAAAAGTAGCTAAAAGTGAGTGTAGGACCCTGGAAGGATGTGACTGAGAAATTGATAAGGGAGAACAGGGAAATGGCAGATAAATTAAACTAGCATTTTGTATCAGTCTCCAGGATGACCATGGTCAAGAACACTATAAAGAATCCAAAGATATCAGATAAGTAATAAAGAAAGATGTTGTAATAATCTTATCACCTTGGACAAATTATTTGACAAACTAATGAGACTGAAGGCTAACAAGTCATAAGGATCTGATGACCTGCGGGAGAGATAGTGGGGACATTAATCAAAATATTCCAGAACTCGGATTCCAGGAGTGTTCCATCGAATTGGAAAATGGTCAGTTTGATATCCTAGTTAATGAAGGAAGGAGACATAAAGTAGAAAACTATAGGCCAGTTAGGCCGGCATCTCTTGTTGGAAAAATGCTCAAGTCCGTTCTTGAGGAAGAAATAGCAGATAATTCAGAAAAATCTTAACATACTCAAACAGATTCGGCATGGTTTTATGCAAGGGAAGTCATGTTTGACAAAATACTCAAGAGTTCTTTGATGATAAAACAAGCAGAGTTGATAAAGGGGAACTAGTAGATATAGTGTATTTGGATTTCCAAAAGGCATTTGATAAGATGCCACATAAAAGGCTACAGGCGAAATAGAAGGTCACAGTTTTGGGGTTAATGTATTAGCATGGATTGAGGATTGGTTAGTGCACAGAAAGTTGGTACTAATGGGTCTTTTCCATTTTGGAAAGATGTAACTTGTGGAATGCCACCAGGATCAGTCCTAGGGCCTCAATTATTTATTATCCGTGTTAATAATTTGGAGGTTATGGCAGCATGTAATGCATGCAGATTGGCTGATTATACAAAAATGGGTGGGATGGTATGTCCTGATGAGAACTTAAGGAATCAACTGGAAAATGTAGGTAGATTGAGTGAATCGGCAGAAACTTGGAAGATGGAATTGAAATTAGAAAAGTGTGAAATCATGCTCGTTGGTAGGAAGAATCAAAAGGCAGACTATTATTTAAATTGACTCAAAAAAAAGTGCAGCACGAGGAAATGTATGATCTTGTGCATGCAACACAGAAGGTTAGCATGCAGTTGCAGCAAGTAATTAAGATGACAAATGGAATTTTGGCCTTTCTTGCTAGAAGATTGGTGTCTATACATGGGGAAGTCTTGTTACAACTGTACATTGTACTGGTACTGCATGCAGTTTTGGTCCCCTTATTTAAGAAATAACGTATTGGCATTGAAGGCAGTGTGAAAGAAAGTCATTAGGCTGATTCCTGGGATAACGTGGTTGACTTGTCAAGACAGCTAAATTGGATATTCATTAAGAGTTTAGTAGTAAGAGAGCTGAAATTATTGAAACATAATGAGATTTTCTAAAGGGGCTTGACAGTTGAGAAGTTGTTTCCACTATTGGGGGGATTTCAACTAGGGGACATAATTACAGAATAAGGGACATTTATTTAAAACTGAGATGCAAAAGAATTTCTTCTCTCAGAGGGTAGTGAATGTCAGGAATTCTCTAGCACAGAGAGTTAAGGAGGCTAGGTCAGTGCAAATATTTTAAGAGGCAGATTTTTGAAATATCAGCGAGTTAATGGCTATGCTGAGCTGATATGAAAGGAGTGTTGAGGCCTAGGGCAGAACTGATATGATCTTTTGAATGGCATGGTAACCTTGAGGGGCTGATTGGCCTACTGCTGCTCGTATTTCTTATGTTCTTAAGTGTGGTTTAGTTACTTACTGAACTACTCATATTATAGAACATATATAATGATGATCACATTTTGGAAGGATTAAAGACAGACACGTTCCTAATAGCTTGTTTTCAAATATCCCATTTCTATATTCTTGCAATCTCTGTTATCTCTTCCTCATCTCCAACTCTTCTCCAATTTTAGTGTCTTGTACATTTCTGATTTTAATTGCTGTACCATTGGGGTGTCTTCATCTGGCTTGTAAGCTCTGTAATTCCCTCTTTAAGTCTCTCAAGCTTCCCTACCCATAAAACCCTCTCTTGCAACCTTTAGAATACTTCTTAATACTTACCTCTGATGAAGTTTGTGGACACCTATTCCTGTATTTCTACATGGTTTGGTGGCACATTTGAGGTATGTTATTATGTTAAAGGTATTTTGAGTTGTTAATTTCTGTTTTTAAAAAAAAAAGTCTTTAAATAGGCACCAACCCAGCACAGATTTTGGAGCATGAATTACATTTACACCAGGTGGGCTGTTTTAGCGCAGTGGCAGTGCCCCTACCTTTGAGCTAAGAGGCCTGGGTTCGAGTCGCATCTGCTCCAGAGATGTCTCATAACATCTCTGAGCAGGGTGATTGGAAAATATTTACACTTATACCAATGCGAATCAGTGATACATGGCCAACCTATCAACAGAAGTGCTAGAGATTGGGAAAGAGAGGAGGACTGAATAGATCTTTTATGAGAGTTCAGAAAATTCTAAGTTGTAATTCTGAACTATGTATTGACATTCTAAGTTCACGCTTTAAATTTTATTTTGCTTTAGCTGTAAACCAACTTTGGTTAAGTTTCCTTTGCCTCTTTTATTCAAGAATGATTGTTACTTACAGGGATGGAAAATGACGACAACACTGTTCAGTATGCTATTGGACGGTCAGACACTGTGGCTCCTGGTACAGGCATTGACATGGAATTTGATGCTGATGTTCAGACTATGTCCCCAGAGGCCGCTGAGTATGAGACATGCTATGTAACATCACACAAAGGGCCATGCCGTGTTGCCACCTATAGCCGGGATGGACAGCTGATTGCTACAGGGTCTGCTGATGCATCTATCAAGATTCTGGATACAGAGAGGATGTTAGCAAAGAGTGCCATGCCCATTGAGGTACAGCAGTAAAATGATCACAAGTGTTTTGCAAGAATTTAATCCGATTATTTTATCCGATTTTTTTCTCCCAAAGCTGTTAACTCTCAGCTCCGTGGCATTGGGAGGTCTCTGGTAGCATTAGAAATAATTAAAGCAATCTTTGCAGATGTATTGATGAACAGATGTTTGCATCTTTCAAGTTAAACAATCGTTTAAGAAGTGGTTATTTTACTTCTGCAAGCTACACACTATTGTGAAACTCTCTGTACTGCACTTTAAAAGCAGCAAGGGGGCACTCTGACCAAAAGCAGTGTGCACAAAATAGATTTGTCCTGTTAAAAACAAATTAATTTGCTCAGAATCTGTTTATTCACTGTTCATGACTGTTCTAACTATTTCCTGGTCTCAGTGTGGCTGAATGATGTCATTTTATCCAGTTTTAATTTATATTAAATTAAGAGACAAGAACTAAACAAGTGAAGTCACTGTTGCTAACATATGTTGGTCGACAGCAATAGAAAAGTCAAGTTATTTGCAATAAATTTTAATTATTGTTTTACACAGGTGATGATGAATGAGACAGCACAACAGAATATGGAAAACCATCCTGTAATTCGCACGCTGTATGATCACGTAGATGAGGTTACCTGCCTTGCTTTCCATCCCACAGAACAGATACTGGCATCAGGTTCAAAAGACTACACACTGAAACTTTTTGACTATTCCAAGCCTTCTGCCAAAAGAGCATTCAAGTACCTTCAGGTTAGAAATCAAAATTTGTGGGTCATTTGATGATATTATTGATTTAAAAGTATGTGTTCAAGCTCAGCTGTGGACCTAAACATGTATTGTAGATTCCCACCCCACTGCAATTGTGAGGCAGCACTGTACTGTTTAAAACACAGCCTTTTATTAATTTGAGGTCCTGTCTGCTTGCTCAGACAGAAGTTAAAAGTCCCATGGCATGGCTTTATCCCACATTCCTGACCAATCTTCTTTGCTTATCCTACACTGCAAAAAACATGGTATCTGGCTACTTAATCATATTCTATTTGTAGTGCATTAGTATACCCAAAACAGCCTATCTGACAGCAGTGACTGCACCTCAAATATAATCTGCACTTTGAAATTTCTGATGCCATATAAATACATATTTTTTTTCTTAACACCCAGATGATAATCTTATCGACATTTCCACACTCTTATCAAATTTCCTTTTGTTTACAGAATTTCAGCATTATTATGGTGCAGAAGGAGGCCATTTAGTGCATAGTGCCTGCACCAGTTTCTCAATAAGCATCATTATCTTGTACCAATCTACTGCCTTTTCTCTATTCATTTGCATGGTAGTTCTATCCAAGTAACTTTTTCAAGCAGAGGTTGGTGCATGTATGGAATGAGCTGCCAGAGGAATTGATGGAGATGGGTTTAAATACAACATTTAAAAGGCATCTGGATGGGTATATGAATAGGAAGAGTTTACAGGGATATGGACCAAATGCTGGCAAATGGGACTAGATCAGATTGGGATGTATGTTTGGTGTGGACAAGTTAGAACGAAGGGTCTGTTTCTGTGCTGTATGACTCTATAAGTAATCATCCAATGCCCTTTACACCTAGATCCCAATGCTCCTGCACTCCCTTTAGAATTGTGCTCCCTAATTTGTATTATTGTTCACGGTTCTTCCTACCAAAGTGCATCACCTCACACTTTCTGCATTGAACCTCATCTGCCACCCATCCATTTACTCCACCACTTGTCAATGTCCTTTCGGAGTTCCATACTGTCCTCACAGTTTACATATGTTTCAATTCTTGTGTCTTCTGCAAACTGTGAAATTGTCATCTGCGCATCAAAATCCAGTTTATTAGTATACATCAAGAAAAGCAAGGGTCCAATGTTGACCTCTGGGGAACTCCACTTCAAACCTTCCTCCAGCCTGAAAAATGTCTTGACCATTGCTGTCCGTTTCCTATCACTCAACCAATTTTGTATCTACATTGTTACTGTCTCTTTTATACCATCACCTATGTCTTTCTTCACAAGTTTGTTATATGGCAGCATATCATACGCCTTTTGGAAAACTATGTATATCACATCAACAGCGTTACCCTCAATGACCCTTCTGTCACCTCTTCAAAAAAACTCCAGCAAGTTAGTTAAACGTGATTTTCCCTTTAGAAATCCATGCTGACTGTTCCTAATTAACCCATCTTTTTCTTCTGATTCCTTCCTGAATAATTGTTTCTAGAAGCTTTACTAGCATTGAAGTTAGACTGATAGTTGTCTCTTTTCACTTCCCAGACCATTGAATTTTTGAAGTTTGGTTTCACAGATGATGGAAGCATTCCAGTACCTGTCTGCATGGCCAGTTCCCATTGTTGACTCTTTAGTCTGATGAGCTGTGAGCATTACAACCAAATGCACCCTATCCTCAGCTGTGTACACTTTTCTCACAGAGTCACTGATAATGATTAGGAGAAGGCAGTCTGACTCAATTTTTCTTTGTGGCATCGGCAGGAAACAAAGGGGGAAATTAATTATCATTATCTCTGCAACTTATTTTTTATATGTTTTTAGGAAGCAGAAATGCTCCGCTCCATCTCCTTTCACCCTTCCGGAGACTACATTCTAGTGGGAACACAGCACCCCACTCTGCGATTGTATGATGTCAATACCTTCCAGTGTTTTGTGTCAAGCAATCCCCGTGATCAGCACACAGATGCTGTCTGTGCTGTGAGCTACAATCCCAGTGCCAACATGTACGTGACATGCAGCAAAGATGGCAACATTAAGCTGTGGGATGGGGTATCAAATCGCTGCATCACAACCTATGAAAAAGCACATGATGGTGCAGAGGTGTGCTCCATTATGTTCTCACGAAATTCGAAGTATGTTTTGTCAAGTGGAAAGGATTCTATTGTGAAACTGTGGGAAATATCAACTGGCCGTACAATGGTTAAATACACAGGTAAGAAAAGCTAATCAAAATTCAGTTGTGGACTGAAATTTTAACTATGGCTAGGTCACCTTGAATACATGATGCCTTTGAGGACAGAAGGCTACCTTCTGTGTTTGTTTTTATTTCTTGCATGCTAGTGCGTGTAATTGAATTTAGTCATACTGCTTTTTATGACCTGAGACTAGAAAGGGTAAAAGAGAAGACAGTAGACTGGGAATAACTAATGCTAGGTATTGATTCCAGTGTTTGAACTGAAGTGGGAGGAGAGGAAGAGATATTAAGAATGGTCTAATAAATAGACTAAGATTCTGGAAAATCCTGATGGAACGTGGTGTCTGAGAAGCCTAAGCACACTGAATATTACTCTCCTTACCTGTTAGCAATGCAGTGTGAGTTCCAATACAGAGTTCTATTGAGTATTTTCAAGATGTCTTAAGAGATTATACATAAAATTGTTACTTTGTTCTAATCTTACTTGTCCAATTTTCTATTCATCCCCATGTGTAGAGTTTATCATAGTTTCATAGATGAGACTGTAGTACACAAGTGTGCATAAAGTACACCCATTCAGTTTTAAAATGCTATTTTTCTGTAAATTCAGCTGAAACGTTTTAAAAGAGGCTGTACACTTTACAGAAAAGGAGGTGCAGGCAGTCTTAAAGAGCATAAAGGTGGATAACTCTCTGAGACCTGCTCAAATGTGTACTAGGACATTTTGGGAAGCTAGGAAAGAAATTGTGGGGCCCCTACCAAAGATATTTGTATCATCTGCAGCCATGGGTGATGTGCAGGAAGACTTGAGGGTGGCTAATGTTGCACTTTTGTTTATGAAAGGTTGCCAGGAGAAGCCTGGGAACTATAGACCAGCGAGTCTGGCGTTGTTGGAGGGGATTCAGAGACAGGATTTGGAGAGGCAAGGATTGATTAAGAATAGTCAGCATGGCTTTGTGTGTGGGAACTCGTGTCTTGCAAACCTTATTGTGCTTTTTGATGATGTGACCAAGAAGATAGTTGAGGGCAGAGTGGTAGACATTATCTACATGGACTTTAGTAAAACCTTTGACAAGGTTTTGCATGGTAGACTGGCTAACAAAGTTAGATGACATGGGGTTTTGGGAGAGCTTGCCAATTGGATGCAAAAATGGCTTGATGGTAGGAGACAGAGAGTGGTGGTAGAGCGTTGTTTTTGGACTGGAGGCCTATGACCAGCAGAGTTCTGCAGAGATTAATGCTGGGTCTATTGTTGTTTTTCTTTTATATAAACGATTTGGATGAGAATATAAGAAGCACGGTTAGTAAGTTTGCAGATGACACCAAAATTGTTGGTATAGTAGACAGTGACGAAGATTATCTAAGGGTATAATGGGATCTTGATCAATTGGGCCAATGGACTGGCCAATGGACCGACCAATGGCAGATGGAGTTTGATTTAGATGTTGCAGGTGTTGCAGTTTGGTAAGATGAACAAAGGAGGACTAGCACAATTAATGATAGGACTCTGGGGAGTGTTGTAGAACAGAGTCCTAGATGTTCAGGTACGTAGTTCATTGAAAATTTTGACACCAGCAGACAGAAGTGGCAAAGAAGGCATTTGGCACCCTTGCCTTCATTACCTTTGAGTATAGGAGTTGGGACGTCATGTTGTGGTTGTACAGAACATTAGTGAGGACACTGTACAGTTCTGGTTGCCTTATTAAAGAAAGGATATTATTAAATTGGAGAGGATACAGAAAAGATTTACAAGGAAGTTACTGGGACTGGAGGATTTGAGTTTACAAGGAGAGGCTGGATAAGCTGGGACTTGTTTCACTAAAGGGTAGGAGGTTAAGGGATGACCTTAATTAATTAAAAATTAATTATAGATTTATAGATAAGATGAATAGCAAAAGTCTTTTCCGTAGGGTTGGGGAGTTCAAAATTAGAGGACATAATTTTAAGGTGCGAAGAGAAAGATTTAAAAGGAATCTGAAGGGCAACTTTTTCACGTAGAGGATGGTTTGTATACGGAATAAACTGCCAAAGGAAGTGGTAAATGCAGGTCCTGTTATAACATTAAAAAGGCATTTGGACAGGTATATGAATAGGAAATGTTTAGAGGGATATGGGCCAAACCCAGACAACTGGGAGTAGATTAATATGGAAAACTTGGTTGGCATGGATAAGTTGGACCGAAGGGACTGTTTCCATTCTGTATGACTCTATAATCTATAATTTGTGTGCTGAAAGAAGCTGTTTCATTGAAGCCTGGTGTTAGTTTTCTCAAATTCTTGAATGTGAGCACCTGATGCTTTTATGGTTTTTTGTAAATTACTGTGGTTTTGAACTTTAGAATCTGTACTGTGACACTACATGTCACATTTATTTTCTTTTTGGACACCATAAGATAAAGTGATGTGAATTTTATTCAATTCCGTTACACTAAACAAAAGGGAAGAACAAATAATAGATTCCATCCTTTTGTGTTCATTTTCAAAATTTGAATGGGCTGCCATTGTTTTTGCAGTGGTATTGTTGGTTGCTTTCTGCAGTGGTATTTGAGCAATACATCACTAATATTATGTATCTTAAATAGTCACGTGCTTATTGATTATGGTAATAGATGTCTAGTTTGCAGTCATTTTTCAAATGAGGAAAATTAAAAATACAGCCACTGGGGCATCCGCAGCCAATCATTTAAGGTAATCTAGTTCATGAAATCCAAATGCAATTCTGTTTATCCTTGTTTCTTTTTAGTTGCTATTTTGTAGTGTATGAATTCTGTAGATGTTGAGATTTGGAAAAGACTACCCTTGGTGTTTTTGCCTTATTTGTTGATAAACTGAGATCATGCAGTATTAGAGAATCATTTAGAACATTTTTAAAATGAACAACACTGTCAATTTTGTTTTGAGCTTATCTCATTTCATAGCAGAGTCATGTTATTTCCTAATCATTTCTTGATCGTCACTCTAACTTGAATTGATTACACCATAACAATTCATCATTTGGTTAGAACATCACCAAAGGGCCCAGCCTGCAACACTTTATATGAAAACTGTGGTTTGCAAACCAAATCTAGGATGCAATAAAGCTACCCGCACTAACTGCAAACAAAAAAGTCCATGTAGATAATGTCTACCCCACTGTCCTCAACTATCTTCATGGTCGCATCCTCAAAAAACACCACAAGTTTGTAAGACACGAATTTCCAGACACAAAAAATGACAAAAATGTGACAAGAAAAATATTGTTAGCAAGCTAACTGATGGCTTATTGTATGAGTGCAATTTCCAATATGGTTCTGAGCCATAAAGATCAGGAAGGTTTTGGCATCTCTGATCTCAGCCAGGAAGCGAATCAATTGTGTTTGAAATGGTCTCTTCACCAGAAGCAGAAATGCCGAGCACTTTTTCTACTGTTGATTACTGGAGAGACTCCACTGCTGGAAATTCTTTACGTGTTATTGTCACGGGATTTAGCTCAGCTGTGCTGTTTGATACATTTGAAAAGTTACAAATAATTCGAAAGTATTAGAGGTACGCCAGTCACTTGGGAATCTTATGCTAACATAATATTTGCCTTTGAATGAGGAAGATTGAAAATTTTTGGCAGTGACAAGTGAGCATAAATGTTTTTGTCAGTCTGTACTGACTGACTTTGGTGATTAGCAATATTGCACAGATCCAAGTAAAGCAGTAAAGATGTTTTTGTTTTGGCACCTGCTGATGGGGAAGCTGCACAGGTAGCTCTGGTAAATGTTTCAGTTTTTTCACACTGTAAACTGGTTGGTGCTTGGAGTTTGAGGAAGCCCACTTATACACTACAGCAACTCACATCAACATGTGGCCAATGTCTTTCGAAGGACTGTTCAAGAATCTACCATTCTATAGGATTATAATGAAAAGTGGCAGCCTGAAGGTTGAATATGCAAAGGTATAGAATTTATAAAAATGATCAGAAAAGTTGGAAAGAAAACAGAAAATGAGGAAGGAAATTGTGACAAATAGGGAAGAGAAAAGGGGAAGGAAATGAGTTTTTTAATAAAAATACAATTTAACGAAAAGGGAAATTCATTCAGCGGTATTAAACGTAAAGATATAACAGCAAATGAATGAGCCATAGGCGATCCCCTTCCACCTCTGGGGAATTTCATGTTGTGCTTGTGGTAGTAAATATGGGAATGGCAATGTCTAGATGTATTTAATTGTCACTAAAACAGCTTGCATTTGTGTAATGTCTTTTAATATAGTTAAGAAGACCCAATGTTTTTCACAAGTATATTCTGGAAATTGACATTCAACTTGAGGAGATATGATGATGTGTGTTCATATATTGTTAAAGATATGGTTTTTAAGGATAATAAAAAATGGTGAGGGAAATCCTAAGACAAAGAGGTTCCTGCAGGAGCAGCTGAGTGCATTGCCAGCAGTGATGGAGTAAAGGGCTGGAGGGATACATGGGTCTTGGAGTGAAAGGAATTCGGCAGGATTATAACTTGAGATTTACCAAAATGGAGCAGAACAGGATGATGAAGGAAATTAAACATAAAGGAGAATTTTTAAATTTTGACTTCAGGGAATTAAGCCAATGAAGGTCAGAGAGAACAGAAATCATTGGTGGATGGTGTTATTTGCTATAGAACAAGATATGGACATTATGGTTTCGGGCAAGCTGGAATGCAGGAAGGTTGTAGTTGTGATACAAGACATATATGCCCTTTGGAGATGTCCGGATCCTCAAGGCCATGTACAGAAATTGCATAACAAGCAAATTTCATGTATTCTCTGTCATCGGATCACAGGTTCAAGAGTCACTCTAGAGACATAATCCGGGTATTGCTTTTCAGATGAGATTTTAAACCAGCATAATGTGTGCCCTCACAGGTGGGTGTAGAAAATAGTGTGGCATTATGAAAACAAGAGCAAGAATTTCTTCTCGTGTCCTGTCTAATATTTATCCCTTAAACATGATAAATACAAACTAGTCATGCATTCCACTATAGTTTTTAAAATTTTGCATATAAATTGATTTCTGCATTTCACTTCAATGAAGTAATGACTACACAAAATGAATTGATTAAATAGTTCTCGAGGAGAATTTTTAGTCAAAAAGACACTAAACAAGTGCAAGTCCTTCCTTTAATTAAGCCTGACTGAATATTATCACATGGGAAACAAGGAAATTTGCCAACGTTTTAAAAAAATGCATGCTGAAATTTCATCATTATTTTTCTTGAAATCAGAAAGCATTTTCTTATTTACACAGTATAAAGAGGAATGTGTCCAAATAGTCAATTTAAATTTTCATTATGTGGAATACTGGAATTTAAAAGTTTTTTCCCTAGGAAATACTGTCCTATTTTATCTACTTTTCCATCAACAGTGAAAATTGGTAGCTTTGAACTTTTCACAATTCCACACTTAAAATGTCATTGAGCTTTCAGATATTGAGGAACTCTTGGAATGTGGATAGATTGCAAATCTTTGAAATTACAAAGGAAATTTACAAATTGAGAGCTCTACAAAAGAAAGAAGTCCAAATGGTGTGTATCATTGTCACTAAAATGAAGTCATGCTTTTGCACTTTGTGTTCTGCTCACATTTACACAAGACGTGCATTTTCTATGCAATTTTGAGTTTCTTTAAATTAGACAAGTCAGAAAATCTAGGTTCAGTCTGGGTTTCGATACTCTGTACAGCTGCCCATCTGTGAGGCAAGGAAAAGTTTCCTTTTGCACCATACACCTGCTAGTTTCTAGTGGTCATACCAATGTTGTACAGCAATTGAGCTTTGCTTCTTCTTTCTCCTGTCATCACAGGAACTTTGGAATGGAGCATTAAGAAAATCTAATATGAAGTTTGGTTCAGATAATAACCGTTCTTACTCGTTGTCAACCAAGAAACAAAATGCTTTGCAAATTCACATTCACCTGCTGTCTTGTCTTTATATCATAGAATCCCTACAGTGTGGAAACAGGCCCTTCGGCCCAACAAGTCCACACCGAACCTCGGAGCATTCCACCCAGACCCATCCCCCTATAACCCACCTAATCTACACCTCCCTGAACACTATGGGCAATTTAGCATGGCCAATCCGCCTAACCTGCACATCTTTGGACTGTGGGAGGAAACCAGAGCACCCGGAGGAAACCGACGCAGACACAGGGAGAATGTGCAAACTCCACACAGACAGTCGCCCGAGGCTGGAATTGAACCCGGGTCCCTGGCGCTGTGAGGCAGCAGTGCTAACCACTGTGGCACTGTGCTGCCCTATTCGTCCTCTGCTTCCCCATTCCTGAAATCGTTTGCTGGGCTATGTTTATAGACACCAGTCACATCCTAGTGCTTTACCTAATTGACTATTCTTTGTCTAAAAGCACTGAGTTTAAGGCGTGAGACTTCACGCCAAAGCTGATACTGTTCTCAGCAAATGTCAGTTGATATTCACTTTGAGCAGGGATCGCTGGATCAGAAGTTAGGATCACTAGGTGATGTCATCATCCCCAGACCTGGGCACTGAAATTAATTGAATCTCCTTACTGGCGGAAGTTCCCTACTAATTTAACTCCAAGACTTAAAAGCTGTAATCAACTAACTTGGTGCAAACTAGAATATGGTGTGTTCTATGTGGTGAATTGCACACTGGAGACGTATACTGAGTCAATCTTGCATTGTGAGGCAGTAAACTAGAAACATTGAATTAGAATTGTTCACTATCAAGTTAAAATTGTTTTCAAATTCTTTTCTACTGTGTTACACAGCCAACCCAGTCATCCTGTTTTCAATGGTGGTGTTAAAAGTTGAGGTTTTTCAGAAATCACCAAAAGATCAAAAAGTTTATTTTTGTCGCCAGTTTTCCCCTATTCACTTCCAAATTACCAAGTTACAGTTTCATAGAAACTGAAGTTCCTCAGTGTCAGCTTTTATTTTGGTCCGCCATGCAACTTACCGTGGAGTTTGGGGAATGTTTGCAAATTTTAATTTCATTTACCGCTCAAAGTTGCTGATTTTGGTGGTTTGACTAAGGATTTACCTGTCAGAGGTGCAAAACTCCTAAAGGCAGTCTTCTCAATGCCTCCAGCCTTGTGAAATTTAAACTAGCCAATACAGTGAATAAGAAATTTGCATCTTGGGGATCAAATAAAACTGAATTTTCTGGGCTTCAAGCACTGGATTAGCAGGCTTCTTGAGGTTGCATGTGGCTCTGCAACTACCTGTGAGACAACCCCTGCATTCTTCATGTGCAAATCTAGACAAGGACTATTGAAAAGTCCATTGAATTTTTCAAAAGAAGTGGAGAAATTACAGTTGAAGTGGCCTTGTCTTCACCTAGTGTTCTCAGCAGCAATTCCTGCAATGCAGTTGAGAATGGGCTGGTTTTCCCTTCAATGATCTTATTTGTAACAATTACATTTATCCCATTAAATTAAGTTTCACAGACCAAGAATTCACCTTGGAACTTCCTCAGTTCCCCTGCTCCACATTGTGTCATTAGAAAAGCCAAAAGTAGAAGCTGTTTTGTGGATATAGGACGGAGAGGAAGGAAGACATTACATACTTATTCATCAATTATTCACCGAAATAGTCAAATAGTTTACTTTTTATCCCTGAATATATGATTGGGTTTTATTTTAGGCTAAAACAATACTTGAAGGATTAAGATACATTCAGACAGGCGGCTGGGGTTAGTTTCACAGGGATAGCATTAGATAGATTGCAATAAGCTGTTAATATCTAAATGTCCAGAGCGTTCCTGGTCGATTACATTATAATTGCCTTTGCCCAGGACTGGCAATCAATACTGAGGAGGGGAACCAAGTCATTTAATTTGGACCTTTGGTTTAGGATAATGGTCAGTTGTGGTGACAAGTTCACACAGACTCAGGATTGAACTTGGAATCCTCTGTCCTGAATAGTCAGTCCTATACATTTACTGCATTCCTTATTCTTTATAATGAATATATTGAGTTGCTTTCAACCAAATTGCCTTTATCTTAAATTGCTAGTTCCGTGCAATATGGTGAGGGAAGTTTAAATTTTGTTGTAATTCACAAATAAGGATGGTGGATAACTAACTGACAATGTAGTATATTACTTACAACTAAAGGAAAAAAGATGAAATAAAAGATTAACAAGTATTGACAAGTCTTCGAATTTGTGTTTTCTTTCCTCCCATTTAGGAGCGGGATTGAGTGGCAGACAGACACATCGCACCCAGGCTGTCTTTAACCATACTGAAGATTATGTGCTTCTCCCTGATGAAAGAACAATAAGTCTTTGCTGCTGGGACTCGCGTACGGCTGAACGCAAGAACCTCCTGTCTCTTGGACACAACAATATTGTTCGTTGTATTGTGCACTCTCCTACCAATCCTGGTTTCATGACCTGCAGTGATGACTATAGGGCCAGGTTCTGGTATAGAAGATCCAGCACTGATTGATTCGTGCACCTAAAGTATGAGAAGGTGGGGGCAAGAATCCTGGTACAGAGAAGAAGATGGGAAGCATTGTAGAAAATGAAGTTCTTCCATCTAGCTCTGTACGCTCCCTTTTTGTCATTTCCCAAACTTTTGGCCTGAGGGGGTAACTGAATTAATTCTGAAGTATTGGTTTGCCATCTGCTAAAGCAGTACTTGGTTTGTATGAAGGTTCCCAGCTTGTTGACCTTCACTTATTTGTAATTGTTTGTAATCCATCTGCTTTTGTTCATCTATATTCCTGGACTATGAAGATATAAATATTTTGTCATATGGGAAACTTCAGCATTGTTTTGTGTGTTTTCAAACGTTGTCCCACAATTGCAATTCAAAAAAATTATCCTTGCTTTCTACAGTCATGGATGCACTTAAAGCCATTTTAGTCTCCTAAGTCAAACATATGTCTCCATCATTTAGAAGGGGCTTTAAAATAGGGGCTGGTATTGCTAAAGATCATCAATTATAACTTCCAGTCCTTTCATTTCATATTTTTGACTAAAGCTGAACTTTTGTATTTCTGATGACCGATATCATTGCGATAACCTTTGTAATTGACTTACTGTCAATGGATTCTTATTCCAAAAGGGTCAAACAATCAACTCCAGCATCTACCCTGTCTACATAAGCCATAAGATGAATGTTGATAGACTATTCATTCAGGGGCATCTTAGCAGAAATAAAATTCTGTTCTCATCCTGTATCTGTTTTCTGCTGTTGTGTTGTAGCATGAAACCTCTGGAACGACTGGCATGTTACATAGCTATAACTTGGATAAATGCTTCTCTGCAGGTCCTAATTGCTGCGAGCCTAATGCACAAAAGTGCCTCCAGTTCAGTGCAGCGTTTATTTCAGTTCAAGTATCTGGTAAGTTGACCAGCGTGACATTTGGAGAAATGTCACAGGGGTACAGAATATGAGGTCCTTTTTATTTTCTGATATGAGTCAAGTTTGTTCAATTGTGATAGGAGCATTGTGCTTAACATAAGAAAGAAGATACTTGGGTAGGGTTCTCCATCCTGATTCTGTCTGGTGACCATTACTGGAAAGTTACAAATGGTGAGGATAAGGTAGTACCACATTTGATACATGTCCCTTCTAATGTGGTGAAATACAGTTGTAACATTCATTGTGAGATCTTGCTTAATTTAATGACAAGGTTTACGAGACCAAAGAGTCTGTATGGAACTTTACATCATAGTGTTGAATTTGCCTGAGCTGAAGAGCAAATTAGTGAAGGAAAATAGTATTTGTTCTGTATTACATTACACCTTTTAATTACTTAAACAATAAATAGTTTAAAGGTGAATGTTGACTCTACACTTGCTGTCAGTTAATGACCAGTGTTACTTGTTCAGTCAGTATTTATGTGCAATATCTACACTCCCATTTAGTTATCTATTATTTTGAGATGTTTTAAATCAGTTAATCTTGTAGTCTAGAATAGGTATTGCTTTCATTTTAACTAAGTCTTACATTATTGGTGATCTACAATATCATTGAATCCTGTCCATTTTTCTTTTTTTTGGGTAACGCATTAGTCATATAAAGAAATTACTAATAGTTATGTTGTTGCTAGTTTACTGGTAGTAAATAAAAATTGGAACTGCTATGCACTTTTGACGTTCTTGTTTGTTTCCTTCTCTGCTTTCAACCAGCTTCTGAGCTGTGATTCTACAGTTACATGTAGCCCTTTTCTGCATGTCACCATTTCTAGTGATTGCATCCAGACACTCTGACAGAGTAGCCAAACAATGGAACACACTTTCAGCAAGGGTTTCTGAATTCGGGTACTCCACCTAATTTTCAGTCTTATCTAGGAATGTTAAGGAAGATTGTAACATCCTTACTGTGTCTTATTGGCGCACTTGTTGATGTTGCCATTTCTATCTCGGGGTTTAGGCACATAATCTAGTCTGATATTTAACCTAGTGCTGCTTTGTTAGTGCAATTTAGAGACATAAATTAAACTGAGACATTAACTACTTGTTCCATTCTATTAGAAGATCTCCAATAGCAGCGTCCAAAAGAAGCATAGATTATATGGTCAATACTTCTCTCTCAGCCAACATGCCTAAAATGAATTGTAACAATTGGGGATTTTGACCAATTGTTCTGGGGAGTAATTTTATTTTAAATTATAATTGATTTTAGATTTTATGTCAGATCTAGGATTCTAAGGACTAACTTCCAAAGGCTCAACATCTTTTTCTTTAAAGGAGTGAAAGACATTACTTCTGTCAGACCAAGCATATGTAGGAATTTCAGTGATGCCTAGAGGAAATAAGGTGACCATTGAAACTTTTATACATCTTAACTTTAAGATGAGGAAAAGGAGAAGATTTGGCCCTCATGCCATTGGTGATGTTCACACATATATTTGTGTTATAAGTGCATTGAATAATTGTGCCCCACTATTCCATGAACTGCCATTAAATGGCCAAAATCCCATGAGACCAGCAAGATGACCAATTTGCCTGCCTGCTATTCTGGATAAAAGCAGTTCACACCAGGTTTCATCATTAACAGAAAATAACTTGTGTACTGTAATACCACTAAATTTAATGAATGGCAGGGAGAAAAAAGGACTACTAATCTACTATTATGTGATTTAAACTATATCCCTTAAAAACTTCAAATACACTTATACTGATTCATGATTAAGACATACAGTTTGACACATATGGATGAAGATATATAGATGGGGAAACAAAATTCTAAGGATCGAAAGCCAGGTTATAGGGGTGGGGTAAACCATCTCTTAAGTTCCTTTTGATTTCAGAAATGATGGTATACTGTTGTCTGTAAAGCGATGATTGATTGATTTTCACTTCAGTGATTGATCCAGTAGACCTAAGCTTTTTCTTGTTAAAATTATTTATGTAACTTTTTTTTTTGTCTTGGCTGAGAGAGATGTTTTAGTTTGCTGGCTTCAGAAATCTCTGGCTGCTCTGCACTGGCAGGTATAAGGAAATTTCAGGACAAAGCATGGTGGCTGTGTTTTTGCTGCTTATGTTGAGTGCTAAAATGTCAGAAAATAAATACATAGTGTGACAGGCTTTCTTATTTCAGGGACAAGCAATTTTATGAAATAACTTAAAATTTGCCATAACCATTACTCGTGTATATATGATAAATTATCCTTTGGTTTGCATCTATCATGGCTTGGTTATTAACACTCACTTCTGAGTGAGAAAGTGGTGGATTCACGAAAAATTGACACTTCAGTGTATTAGTGAGGGAGTGCTCCACCGTTGGAGGTGCTTCCTTTCAGATGAGATGTTAAACTGAAGCCTTCTCCGGTCAAATGTAAAAGGCCATATTTTGAAGAGCATGCGAGTTCTTTGCAGTGTTCTGGGCAATATATATCTCTCAACTGACGTGACAAAACAGATCATCTCAACATTATCATGTTGCTGTTTAGGGAGCTTACTGTGTACCCTGGCTTTCGTGTTTTCTATACTACGAAAGTGACTGCACATCGAAAATACCTCCCTGGTTCTAAAGTGCATCAAGACCACCTGTAAGTGTGACATGTGCCATTTAAACACAAGTCCTTTTTTCGAATTCATTTTATATTACCACAGCTTTTACTTCTGGAAGGTAGGAGAAATCTATGTGACAGCATGTAAGATTGCATTATCCACTTAATAAGGCTGTGGTTCCCAGACTAATGGTCAACAGAAACATTGAATCAGGTTGCAAGACCCCCTCCTCTGAGACAATGCTAATGCAGTGTGTGCCCTGCTAGTCTCTCTGAGCCATGGTCTTTTGCTCTCGGCACTTCTTTGTTGCTGGGGATATGGAAAGCTTGGTTGGAAGCTTAGAGGCCAGTAACTTGCACTTTAAATTGTAAGTCTGTTCAGAACTTATACTTGCCTAGTGCACTGCCAATGTACTTGGTGGATGTGCCTTAGCAGCATGTCTGAGCCCAACCCTGTTGTCCTGGTACTGTGTAATATCAGCCACTTTGACTCTCCGTGTTTCTGCTTCGTCCTGTTCAAGCTCCGTGAGCTGGAGTAGCTCAGATAAACTGGTGAGAACAAAATATAACATTTACAAAGTACATTAAAAACAGATTTTCATTTTCATTTAATGAATTCAATACACTCCAGTCCCTCTGCTCCTGCATCCCCTTTAGAGTTGTACCCTTTATATTGTCTCTCCATGATCTCACTACCAAGACCAATTACTTCACATTCTTCCATGTTGAACTTCACCTGCCTCCTGTCTGCCCATTATACCAACTTGTCAATGTTCTTTTGAAGTTCAAAATCATCAAGTTTCGTATCATTCTCAAATTTATAAATTCTGCTTTGTATGCTAATGGACCTAGGTCGTCAATACATATCAGGGAAAGCAAGGGTCCCAATACAGACCATGGGAGCTACACTACAAACCTTGGTCAGCAAAGATACATTCATGGTTATAGGATCCACTTTGCAGAGACTGATCAACATTATACTTAATAGCAAAACCTAATGTGACTCTGATTTATTTTTAAATGTTGGTCATTCAGTAATTTGATGTTTTGAGTTCTTTGGTAAGTTGTTTCAAAGGCAATTCATTTATTGCAAAGCCCTTTGAAATCCTAAGAATGTGAAATGGTCCCAGTATATGCAAGATGCTTTTGTTTTTTGTGACTCTTTAAAAAAAAAAAAATCTCTTATTTGACAGACCTTGAGTTTTTCTGCATAAAATCTACTTCATTTCGTAATGACTTCTTAAGAATGATTTTTTAAGCTCACAATGAATCTTAATTGAAATAACCTTTCACAAGCTAATTTAGGATCATGTTATTGACCCAGGTAAGTATTTTGTTGAGAGGTTTTTATGCAGGGCCAGTTGCTGCAAGTGTGTGGAATGAAATGGCTTGTGACCCAGAGCTGCATATTGGAACAATGATTGCTTTATTTTGACGTCCTTTTGGTACATGCCTTTTTCTTCCTTTTTTCAGTGCTTGGCAGAAACCACAAGTCACCGTTTGCTCATGTACAATGAAATTGTATGCTTTATAAATGAAGTCACTGCTTATGCACCCCATGTAAACAATTAAAGCTTCTATTCTATCAGGAGAGGAACCTCTGACTGTGAGAAATGACTTCAATGCAATGTAATTTTAATTTCCTTTTGTATCTATCTGCTCCAAAGTCCCTAACCTGTATCAAGTTTGTGTTTTGAGGTATACTGAAGGTAAATTGATTATTTTGAGGGATTTTCCTATCATTTCTGATATAGGGACAGGAAGCAAATTGAAACCTTCGGGGTTATCAACCATGTTACTGGTTAGCGACCAAAAGCTCTGCATGGTAGCTTTCCTCTTCCTAGTGCAAGGATACAGAAGCCAGCTGTAACACCTTATCTGCGCATACAGGAAATCTGTACTGCATACTTCACAGGAACATGATAAAACAGTATTTGACTTTGAATTGCATAAGATGATAATGCAAATAACCAAAAGCATGGTTAAAGAGAGAGATGTTAAATAGTTCCTTAAAGGAGGAGATTGGGGTGGAGAGGTCTGGAAAGGGAATCCCAAAACTTGGCAGCTGTAGGTGCAGCCACCAATGTATTACTTGAAATCAGAGATCCTGAAAAGGCCACAAGTGAATAAGTGTAGAAATGAGATTACCGAGGTATGGAGGGATATGGCTACAGTGGGGTGAGCAGTTTTACAATTAAGGGGCTGTTTAACCAGATGAGTACAAGAATGGTGCGAGTTAGACGAGGGCAATGGTTTTTGTCAGCCTCGAGTTCGCGGAGGGTAGAATGTGGGAGAGCAGAGCCGAGACAAAGGAGGGCCGCAAAGTCAGGCAGTGTTATGGACATGGCAATAAGCAGACCCAGTGATGGAACAAATATATGTTTGTAAGCTCATCTCAGAAAGTAATAACTACCCATCAAGGGTAATCCTGAAGTCATGAAAGAGTTCCACATAAATGCAAACCATTTTATTATAAAATGTCAAGGGGATACAATGGTATACTGTATTGTCATTGAACAGATTCAAATTAATGCTCTAGGGATATGTATTTGAATCCCACCATGGCCGATGATGAAATGAAATCTGGGATTAAAGGCTGATCTAATGGTGACCATATTACCATTGTTAGTTATTGTGAGAATTAATTTGGTTCACTAATATCCTATAAGGAATGAAAATCTCCCAGTGTCATCTGCTTATGACTGTGGATCCACAGCAATTTCTTCGCTCTTAAGTGTCCTCTGAAAAGCCCAGCAAGAAACTCTGAAGGATCTATGTGCTAAGTCTTATAAAAGGAACTAAACTGACAGGCCACCATCAACCCAGGCACGGGAAGTGACAACAGCAAATCTCGCCCTATTGACCCTGGAAAGTATCCTTTTTAACAGCTGGGACTTGTGCCAAAATTGGGTGAACTGGTCCACAGGCTAGTCAAGCAAAAGCCTGACAAGAAGAAATGGCAGAGAAGTTGAATAAATACTTTACACCAGTTTTCACAGTAGAAGACATGCATTGCATTCGAAAATTACTAATCAAGGAGAGAAAATAAATATAATAAGTATCATCAGAGGAAAAAGTGCCTGGAAAAACTGATGGGGCTAAAAAGTGATAAGTCCCCTGGACCTGATGGGT